AGAAGTATCAAACATAATAGAAAGATGAACAATTTATGGCCAAAACAACCCATTATTTCTCTGAATTGTTTGTAGTAAGAAGAGAATTGATTTGACACAATACAAAAGAATGATGAGTGAATGCAGAATACTTTATATACTCAAAGATCAAAATTGTTCAAAAATGTTAAGTGAAGAAGAAGATTAAAAAAGGAAAAGCAAAGAGAAGTGAAGGAAGTGGGGGACCCAAGAACATATCCAAAGAAGGTAAATAAGATTGAGTTAATTACCCAATGATGAGGAAAGAAGATAGAGTACATATAGTGTATGGCAAAATGTGTAGAGAAGAATAGAAGGGATAGTGTTCTTTTTGGGAAGGGAGTTCAGTGAAGTTTGAACAAAAAGGACAAGTTGGAACACAATTCTTGGGAAGTTAAGTATCTTTTCAATGGTTCCCTACATTCCTATCATTTGCATTTTTGCTCTTTTAGACCAACCAAAGACTGTCCAACATTCCTCTTTGTTTTATTTTTACCTTAGCCATTTTGTATAGTGTATCAATATATCGTTTAATGGGTACGAAGCTCTAAATTATTGTACTTTCAATTGAATATATACTAGATCCCTCTGTCTAGATTTAGTTGTCATTACACTATGATGGAAGATAATGATTATGCATAGTTGGAGGATATATACAAAAATCATTTTTATCTACTATAGTTATTTTTAATTTGTATTCCTCTTTTTCAAAGTTGTTGTGTGTTGTTGAATATGGGATAGATCTCTATGGCCTCCAAGTTTCTCAAAATGTCACCATAACACAATATGCATGTCAAAATCATAGATTAGTCAGATCTCAAGTAAAAGGAAAGGAATAGTCTCTCAAAAACAAAAGCAGCTACCCACTTCAAATGATCAAAATCACATATTCCATGATCCAAAGTAATAGTAGGGTTAGTGATAGCAACCACTAGGATGTCTTTACAATAGGTATGCCTACCATAAATCTCCTAATCTCAATAAAATAATTTAATCAATAAATTATGTATCAAACAATATTATCCAATATCAAAAGAATTCTATAATTTTATTATGGCAACTTAAAAGCTCTATTGCAATATAGCTATTGTGTAGCCTTTGATTGTAGCAATTTTAAAGTATGCATTCAATTAATTGAGACAGCTATAGCAAAGTGAAAGGAGTTTGCAATAAAGTTTTCTCCTTGGGAGGGTTTTTTTGTTCCCTCTAGCTAGGGTTTTTCTCTTGGAAGGGTTCTTCTAGCCTTTTTTTTTTTTGAAAGTTTTCCTTCTCTCTTCTTCCTTTTCTCTTCATCACTACCATCTCTTTTTCTCTTGATCTCAGTTGTGAATCTTTGTAGAGGCTTTCACTGGTGTTATTACCGGAGGTAAGCCCCAAAAACCTTTTGATTGCTTTCTATAAATAGATCTCATCCTTGTGATGATGATTTTTCTCTTGTGTTTGTTTTCATTTTCTGTACGTATTGGTGAGAATTGAAGAATTAGGGTTTCATAATCTCCATAAGAATCCAGAGGACCACATGAGTTTTTTCACTCAAACGACTACACATCAGTGGTTTTCAAGCCGAATTAGAGCTAACTCACATATTGTATTGCTTCAAATGAATTTTTTAATAAGGCGATTGTTGATCGAATCTGCGATGTAGTTAGTTTTAAGGTGTTATGTACTTGTGCTAAAATACTTGATTTTTTAGGAATTATATGTAAGTGCCGTTTGGTTATATTTTATTATTGACACCATCCCTTTTCTTCTTGTAAAAAAAAAAAAAAAAAGAGCTTGAAATAACATTATTAATACGGAGTATCAATTATTTAAAAACAAACATAATATCAATTCAGATTAACTTAATATCTCATCTACCTGTATTTGCATGTCTCTATATAAATCAATAAAAATGTCTAGTTAGCATGACATTTTTGTAATTTTATCAACAACTATGGAACTGAAAAGTTGTGAATTTATTTGTAGTTTTACTACTTAAATTTTATTTATCATGGAGATAAACTTGTATTTTCTCTTAAAAGTCTAGATACTCCAAGTTAAGGTTAATAAACAAAATACACTATACTATGAGTAGTATATACTATAAGAGTGCATAGGGATCAGCATCAAAGATACTACTCCGTACTAGTACTAAAGATGCAAAATGAGAATGAAATAAAAAAAACGTTGGATGTTCTGTTCAAATATTATGGAAGCAAAGTCATGAAACATTCTCTACAGTTGCAAGAAACCCTTTAAAGTAGAACAACACTGAGAAACAAGATTTTAGGAGGAATAGAAACCTCTTGAGAAAGCCCTAATTGTTTGCTTTCATCTTAATTTTACTTTAGAAATTCTAAGCTCTTCTCTCTATGCATCAAAATTGTAGTCTTGGTTTCTTGTGCCCATTGGATTTCTCTTTATGCTTTTCTTTCCCACTCCTTCGGATTTGCCATCCGTACGCCCTACGGGTACAATTTATGTTCAAAGCTATGTTGCTTAGGTATTCGGTATCGGGTTTGACACAAGTACATGTTCAAATGTCTTATTAGGCTAATATTGTTAAAAAAAATCAAGATTTTAGTCCAAATAAGCATATGTGTTCTACCATTGTCTGAATGTTAATGTTGGGGATGTGACATTAATACTTAAAATAAAAAGTAGTAACATAGATTCAATACCAATCAAGGATATGCCAGTCCATTTTCCTAATAACGGAGTATATATGCTTATATAGGGTGTTCAAGGGTTTGCCATGTGGCATGTGGGCTAGCACTCTTGTCAAGTGGATTGGGGTGAGTATCCACATATAGGCCTTGGTGGGTCGTTCATGTTAGTGTGATATCTCATACAACTAGCCCCTAAAGTAGAAAGTAAATAAAGCTACGTAGTGATTATAGTTGTTTGAGTATGTCCCCACAAGCCTCTAATTTTCCCTCCTTTGAGCTTGTTTAGTCTAATTAATATGTACGAATGAATTATAAGTGTATAACAAATATAAAACAACTTAATATCAATCTATATATATATATATATATATATATATATATATATATATATATATATATATATATATATATATATATATATATATATATATATATATTTGGGCAACCCATAGTTTATATCATACTTATTTCTTTGGATTCAACGCACAAAAGTGAATATGAGATAGCATTATTTATATGCCTTTCTGTTGGAAAGCATTTCATTTTACAATTCTCTATCTGTATACTAGGCCTCGCTATTAAACTTAATGGATATTAACGCTCATTTATACTCCATAGAAATTTGTAATTCACGGGGACCATCTAATTAGGAGTTCCTAATTATTAGTTGCTTTTTTCTTGCAAGTATTGTTGTAATGTACTTGTTATGATCTTGGTTAACAATTTAGCATTGGCCTATTGAATTGGATGTTCATTGCACATGTTTAATAAGTAACCCATCATCACACGCTAAAACAAGTGGATTGGGTGACTGACATGTACACATGTCTTCCTATATGATCATTATCATGTGCTAGTATTTCTTAGATTTAAACATCAAGTACTTTAGCTCTTTATGCTTCTAGTAACGTTAAGTATCACACTAATTTTTAGACAGGCATCAATGACCCCCACTAAATCCCTATCTTGAGCTAATCAAATGAATTGAATGCCAACAGAGAGGATACAAGGATTTGATCCGCAATTTTCAATAGTTGATGTAGAGAGAGTCACAAAGATAAAAGTATTGAATTTGATCCCACTTTATAGGTATCACCTAGCTACAAAGTATATAATTATTTAGCATTACATATAAGAAAAATTAATATTGATTAAGATGGTTTGATATGTGGTGAGTTACAATCACTCGAATTTGACCAACATTACATCCACTAGTAATATTAATGTCCTTCGCTTAGATGGTTCAAACTTATATATTGTAGATGAATTGGCAAATGTGAAGAATAAAACACATCCAACACAACATATGTATCTAGAGTCCTTACAAAAAATACTTGCATTGTAGGTAGAGATAAATTGGGCATTTCCTTAAATAGAATTATAAAGAAATGAAAGTCTCTACTCTCTAGCAATTCTTGAACTCGCAAACTGTCTAGGGTTTATACTTTCTCAAACTAACAATTTTGGCACATTATGAAATTCTTAGTCACACTTGTAAAACAAAACTTCAAGAAGTATAAAACCTAACTACAGCTTAGATTTATTAAATAAAGATGGGTATGGTCCAACGAAAAAGAATAGAAAAAAAATAATATGCTTCTAATATTGTGGGTCTTTAGTCCCTCTCTTTGCTTTAGCATAGTAAGTTAAAGTGAAGCTAAAAAAAATAAAATCAAAACCATGATTTGTTGGTTTCAAAAAAAAAAACAAAGTTAGCCATCAAATTTGAACTTTTAAACACTAATTTATTAATATAGGAGGGACAATAAAAAATGGATTAATTCTATGATTTAACTCACAAATTTCATTCATAACCAAATCTTAATGCCCAAAATAATCATGTACTATTGGCTAGAAAGCTAAATATAGCAACAAAAGAATAAGAATCTGGGCCAATATGTAAATGTCAAGTTTGTTACCAACGAGGTAAAACGACTACTCAAGAAGCTAGAATTCGGTTTTGGTTACGACATGCTAAGACTCAAAACTTACCAATTGTCTAATGTCATCTAAAAGCTTAACATTGTACCCACACAAACCTAGCACGCCATACTGACCAAAGCTTATGTCTTTATTAGCTTATACCCAAAGAAATCACTTTGTTACTTTGAGTTAACCTGTATTCGTTGGTCTTTAAGCTTTATATCAAATATTAGTGGCCGTTTGGTTGACATGTAATGAATGTTCAAATATATTTGCACCCTAACGAATGGAATAAGTGAATTAAACTAGTGCCTCCTTAGCGAGCACTTGGGAAGTAAGCCAAGTATTATTCAAGACTTGATGCTCTCTTGCAGAAATTCCTGTTACATGGCAACCATGGGAGAAGTATGGAGTAACAAATCATACAGATTCAGAAAAATGATGTCAAAAGACAATAATATGTTGCTTGTAATTGGCTCTCAAGTGCTATAAAAGATACAAATTACGTCTGAAACGATAATGAAGTTTATGTACAAGCAAATGAGAGCTGTAGCTAGAGAGTTACATGACCCATTCATCAGCATTTCTTAAAGCAATACTCGGTGTAAGCTATACTGTGAAAAGGTAACAACATGGCAGGCAGTTTTATGCCAGAATAAATTGGCAATTTTTGTGAACCAGGAGCTCTACAAGAAACTTGGAATTTCATTTTGATCAGATACATTTTAGCAAGTTACTTAACACATTATTGATGTTGTTCAGGCTGTGGAGCAGCTGCAGGCCCAGGAGCTATGGTGAAATGCACACCTCCATGCTGTCCCGCCTGTATCACATATGCAACTTCACCTGCCGCCAATGCTGCTGCTTCCTGTTGAAATCAAACATATGTAAAAATTGAATGTCATTACATGACCAAAAAATAAAAGCACTTCCTCTGTTTCAAAGTAAGAAGAGACAGAAAGAGATAGGAATCTAGTCAGATGGAGGAGTCAAAGGTTATTTTGAAACAATCCATATAGCAAGTGTTTCATACTTCATATTTTACAAAATGAAGTAATCTAAACCTCCATAATAGCAAGAATTAATGAAAACTATTAAGTGTCGAATATCAAGATGTGAGAGCTTTTCCGAAGCCAATATATGTATTTCTTTTATTCTTTTTGGCAAAATACAGATATATTGATAAGCCAATTGATAATTTCTTTAAAAAGAAACAGGACGAAATGTAAAGGCATACATTGATTATGAAAATTATCATTTCCTTTTATTTCATATCCCCTATTGGTCCAAAAGAAAATGAACATTGAAATTAATCTAGACTCTCCATTAGAGACTCAGTATTCGCTGACCAGAGCCAATTATTGTTTCTCTTTTGCAGTGACACACTTGGGAAAGCAGGCCAAATGCTTTTGCAGTACAAGGTTTCAGTTACTAGACAAGCTTGGTCTCATGAGATTAGTAGGTATTATAAGAGAATGCAAGAGAGGAGTCAGAGTCAACTCAGTCAAGAGTCAGGGAACACATCTTAACACTCAGAACTCTTGCTTTAGGTGACTTTCCACCTTTAGTTTTCATCCAATTCATCTTTCGTCTCCTTTCCACCTCCAATACAGCATCTATTTCCCACCTATTGCCTATTTACCAACCCATAGTAAGTCTTGTATAAGGCGGACTTTTGTTAGTTTTATTGGTAGACGGTCAATACTTTCCACCTCTAGTGTCACGGAACACATCTAACACTTATAACTCTTATTTAAAGGTGACTTTCCACCTCTAGTTTTCATCCACTTCCTCAATCTTTCATCTCCTTTCCACCTCCAATAAAGCAACTATTTCCCACCTATCGCCTATTTACCAATTCACAGTAAGCCTTGCATAAGGCGGACTTTTGTTAATTTTATTGGAAGACAACTTTAATCAATCTGAGGATAACTTTAACAATTTTTATGATAACTTTTACTCATTCAAGGGTAAATTTTAATATGTAATGAGATTTATTGTATTTTAATGTGTATTTTCTTTGGATACAGGTTATTAAGGCTCATATGATTAATCTAATATATTATGAGTATTTTTTAAGGGTAAAATTTATGGTTAAAAAAATGGTAATTTTTATTGTATGTAAGGGTAACTTTAAATACTTTTAGGGTAACTTTAAACTGTCTTACAATAAATTAAGGAAAGTTCGCCTTATTCAAGAATTTATAACCAACCCAATAAGATAAACACAACAGCTTCCATTATAGGTTCCACATCACCTCCTCCATTATTTGGTTCACAAAACAAATAAAGTCTGCATAGATCACTCAAATACTCAATCTTACTTAAAGTAATGCTAATTAAAACAATGTTTCCTCCAAGTAATACTTAGGAGTTGGAGTTGACGATCGAGCCTTCCAAATTGTAGTAAAATGAAAGCTATCTTGAATATCCTTGATAGAAAGCAAGATGATTATTATCTCAAAAAAATTTATCTACATGGTATCCCTCCCACCTAATCTAATCCTTATCTATAACAATAAATTTACATAGGGGGTAGTCGTTAAAAAAATAAAAACTTGTGATTCATCTAAATCCCAAAACTTGATTTGACTTGGTATGAGCCTGCTCCCCTATGAGTCACTCTGATCGCCTAGTCTACTAAAAAAGGGCTACAGCAAGCAAGCTTTCCCGACATGCTTCTTTGGCTCTTTATATGATGAATATGAGGAAAAAAAATTGGTCCTAAGGGTACAACTACATAGAGTAACATATATCCAATTATCCATTAAAGCCAATGCTTTAAAGTTCAACAATTCATCTTAAGCAACTATTGTTTTCCATAAATTGGTTTAAGATAATCAAACAAACAATTTTTTTTTCTCCCTCCACTTTTTATACAAGTTTATGCCAGTCAATAAAAAAATGCTTTCAAGGACACAACATCAAACAAACAAACTTGTTGCTATCACCAACCTTGGAAGGGATGCAACCTGAAAAGATTTAGCCCTAATATTTAACCCCAAGAACAAAAAAGGAGGTATTCTTGCTATCTCTTCATTGTCATAATTTTTCTTCATTTTAATGGAGTTCAATTTAACCAAGTAATATGATGTGAGCTACCATATTTGGGACATGTAAAATTGTAAACTGCAGTATATATCTCAGGCGTAGCATAAACTTAGATGAATGTGATTGTTATAGTGGGAGTGCTCAAATTTGTATCTTTTAATTAGAGGAGGTGACAATAAAAATTGAATTTTGAGTTTGTAGAATGAACGAAACATATCAAGAACAAGAAATATTACTCCGTCTCACATAGACATAACATGAGTCATTATATATTTTTTATGGTGGACTCGATATCACAATGCTAATTGGAAAATTGGAACTGGAGTGAAGATACAGTGTTTTCTATGTCGCTTATTGAACAATCGTATATCAGTATTTTATTACAATAAGAAATTAAAATATATCAGTATTTTATTACAATAAGAAATTAAAATATATCAGTATTTTATTACAATAAGAAATTAAAATCACTTTTTAAGCAATCTTATTGGCTACTCTTTTAGTACCATTTGATTAATTTTTATCAAACACTGTATACGATACATCTTGTGTGCTGCATGGGTCCAAATAGTAGTTATAGTTTATAATGATCAAAGATTGAATTTAAAGACAGTGAAAAGTAGAGATATCTGAGACAAATGTAATACACAAGTTTTAGAAAATGAAACATAAGTTTAGAAACCAACCTGTCGTTGCCTTCTCCGTTGCAATATACTAATAGCCCAAGCCATTATGTAGCATGGAAGAAGAAAACCAGCAGCTCGCAGCAAGAAAAGCTGTAAAAAAGAAACTAGTCAACATAATGTATTGCAAACAGAAGGCAACAATTCACAAAGTTTTTGCATTACTCACAGAAAAGAACGTGGAAACATCATCATCCTCACCATCAGGACTTGTCACATAAAGAGCATGCCTCAAGAGTAATAGAGCCATCAACTGCCACAATAGAGAATATTCAACAAAACCAAAATAACAACAGGGGAAACCAAAATAACCAGTAATAGTAGGCTGAGATATAGAAGGACAAGAAACCAAAAGGGGAATTATATCATCATTACATAAGCATTTGCATGGTACAAAGAGTGTCACTAAGCAGTAAGCGCCCATTTTTAAATTTCAACATAGTGATCAAACCTAGCAAAAGGGCATATCTAGATCCAGTTTCATAAAGAGAGACCTGAAATTGTCTAATATAGCACAAACCAAACCAACCAGTTTACTGGCTAAGGCAACTTACTCATCTAATTAGTCAAACTGTAAGGCCAAACTTAATATTAACGGAGGCCATGAGAACAATATGAACTCCAACCAAAATCTTGAATTCTGATGCTTCCAAACTTTGAATGTGTTGTGACGAGTAATCAAACTCTTTTAGAGTATGAGGCTTTTTTTTTCTTTACTTTGATTCTAGAGCATGTGAAAGTTAACTGATCTTTCCTGAATTATCTAAAAGAAATTTTCTGTAACTGCATTTTAAAAATATGTGTTTCCAAATTCTCAAAAATTAGCCAAGAAATACCAGCATTCTTAGTAAACCCAAACAAGTTCAACCCAAATTTGCATGTAGATATCAAATCAAGAAATTAAGAAGTCTATGACTGATAGAAGAGGCTTATATGAGGCCTAATATACAGCTTGTCAATTGTAAACATGTAAGCGTATTATGTTAAGTGGGGTAAACATTAAAGCACAGACACCTATATCATCAATTTATCAAGACAGAATCCCACAGCTCATAGTCACAGTTGGTGCGCCTCTTGCCCTAAAAATAGTTATGATCATAGTGGTGTTCATTTAAAACAATAATGCCAACTTACAATGAGCGCAGCAGAGCGACAAAATGCTGCTCCATTGGCATTTGTATCAGCATACTCGTCATACTCAGCTTCCAGTAGATGTCTTTCAGCAGCTGCCATTGCCAAAAGCCGGGGGTCATTCAAGTCCAATGGTGCACCAGACACGGTCCATTGAGCACTGTAACCAAAAAGAAGAAGTATTAAATAGGATCTTAGATTGCTGCATAGCAGATTTCCATTCATTATTTTACCACTCACAGGGAAATTTTGGCCTAATATGAGCATGCATGAAAAGAAGGGAACACATTCATACAACATACACCATAAGATGAAAATACAGTTGGTAAAAAGCATGAAAAGAGCAGACCACTAAAAATTACCTGATGTCAATAGCGGTATCATCAGCAGGTGGAGGTGGTGGTGCAGTATAACCTGGTTGATAAGGCTTATAAACCAAGAAAGAAATATTACTTAATGATGGCTCAATATCCATAATAACAAATAAAATACGTCACCAAAAATAACAAGAATCATAGATGGGGGATCCACACATAAGTGCATCTAAGTTAAGCAAAATCATCAAGCATATTATGAGTCAATTTTTAGTATATTTCAGATCAACCATGCTATGCTCATTTGATACAAAAAATGATCCTTTATTTTCAGTATTACCCAATTAATAATTATAATATAAAGAAGGTTTTAATTCAAATCTCAAAACTTGCAAGACAGCAACTTTATCCTATATAAAGTGAATCCTATAAATCAATTGGCAAATGAGAAATAAAGGTAAAGTTTGAGTTTAGCTGTACATCATTTGCAGAAGATCCAAACCAATAGTAGTGAAGTCAAAACAGCAGTAGCCCAAAGTATATAAAATGTGATAGCCCTCGGATGGTTGAATGAATTCATGCATGACTACTATGACTCTATGAGCACTATCATAAGATTCATAACACGTTTCATAGAACAGAAATTTTAGTTAATATGCCATATCCATCACCCAAATGATACTAACATCAAACCCTTGGTTGTGAAGACAATAACTTAATACTAGTTCAGTGGCAATAAAGACAGATAACCTCAAGGAAAGGCTATACAGTGGCATAGTGAATGTCAAAAACAAACATGAAAATAGCAATTATTGTATCTCAGAAATTTGAACTTAATTCTTTGAAAGTAACCTTCAACCAAATGCAGCCTAATTTTTAAGGGTATAGGGAGTAAATCTATCGAACAGGAGCCACACCCACCAACACCAATTATTGAAAGCTACTTCCAAAAGAAAATATTTTCAAAGTCGTCTTACAAGAAGATGTTGACTCCCAATTACTCCATCCTCAAATTCTAAAAAATGGATCACAAAGGCTATACATCTCAAGACCAAGGACAAATAAAAGAATCAGCCAATCAATTTCCTTTTACAATTCTCTACTCAAAGTCTCAAACTGATAGCATTCCAGGAAATTTCTAAGATTAGAATAAAGAAAGGAAGAAGACCGTTTAAATGCCAAATGCAGTAAAAATAACATTCATTCACAAGATAGATATCACTTTCAATTTTCCAAAATAAACTTTACACAAAGACTTTACACAGCAACAACCAACCGCCACAACAAGCTATACTCTATCCGGAAAAAAAAAAAAAAAAAAAAAAAAAAAAAAAAAAAAAGAGGAAAAGAAAAAGGTGAAACCAATAATAAATGGGCTCATCCGGCTCAAGAAGAAAAGAACGTAATTCGAAACAAATAATCAAAGAACAGCTGTACAAAGATAAAAACAACAGAATCATCCAACAATGGAGATCAAAAAACAACACATACCTGATGACAGATCTCACATATGATGTCTCCTTTCTCATTGCACCACCTTTGAACACATTTCCTATGAGCATACTGCGTCATAACCCAAAACTTGTTTAAGAGACATACTAGTGATCTAACGTAAGATTAGTACCAGTGTCAATTTCAATATGCACCTACAAACAATTAGATGCTCCCTCTATCCTTTTTTAAGCTATATATAAAAATATTGAACATTTAACCAGGAACAGTGGTGGGTTTATGAAATGACAAAGGTGCCTCTGTTCTATACGATACTAACGCAACTTTAGAAATATGAATGTGAGTTGGTATTCTTGACAAGATAAATAATGGTACAGTAAGATAAGAAAAGTTATCAAACATTATACAAAAAGCTTAGAGCATTTATTTGAGGCCATAATCATTCTAAAACAAAACTATAAAGGGACAAAAGTAGTAAAAACATACTCGTATAAGTGTATAACTAATGAAACAACTTCGAGCTCCAATCTTAGACAAAACACATTGAATTTCAGCACTCTTTTCTATGCATTTCACAAGCTCCAAGAATTAAAAAGAAAAGAAAAGTTTCGAGGCAACATTAATCCTCCTGGAAACCAAATAATCAAACAATACTAGTTGTGAGAACCACAAAATTCTAGGAACAGAGAGCACAGCAAGCACAGTCCTCGTCAGACTGATTGACTGACCACAGAAATAATAAGTGTGTATAAGACTTTGCATCAATTCCAAACGGTTTCATTGTTGATTTTAAGCCCAAAACAGTACAATTGGAAGACGTATGGAACTTCCTATATCAAAAAGCATGTTTGATACAATGCCACAGCCTAAAATAATTAATGAGTTTGCTCGCTGTCTTACATAGAACATCCCTCATATCAACTCCCAAATATTCAATTTTATTCATTAGCTTTACCATTTATACACAAATGTTTAGGTTATAACAACACAATAATGAAAATCAACAAAGAACAACCTGTTTTGGAAGTACAAATGTATTATTACGGCTTTTTACAAACAAGTTCCATAGAAAATCACACAAAAGCTGACCATTATTCCCTCATTTTAAGACCTTACCCCAAAAGAACCAGACAAGCTAAAAGTCTAAAAACAAAGGTAAAGAAGTTACCTTCAAACTGCCACTGCAAGAGCAAGGGACCTCCAAATTCTTTACACTATCCTCCTCCTGACAAATCCTGCACTCAACTCCCTGAATGAGAGGCTGTTCTTCATCAGGCACATCAGCTCTCACCTCCCCGGGTTCATAAGAAGTAGACGATTCAGAAACATGATTATGACTATCAACAGACGATTCCGAAACCTCAATCCCTTTACCCGGTTGCAAAGTGTCCGATGTAATCAGACGGTCCACACACACAACATGGTGATCACTCATTTGTCTTCCGGATCAAACTGATGAATAACCAAATAATTCAGTAATACAGTAAATGACGATGCAAGCCACAGTTTTTCAACAGCCTAAAAATCTTCAGACTTTGACAAAGAACTAGCAGATAAACATAAAACCTAAGCATACAGAACTATCTAAACAATCAAGCAATAAGCCCGATAACTCCATTAAAAATTCACAAAGTAACTACTCGGAAATAGCTACACTTCAAATAATCTAAGAAACAAGATAAATGTTCATAAGTTTTTCACCAATTAATTCCAGCTAAGGAAAAAAAAAGGCTCAAACTTTAACCTAGAAAAATATCCAAAAAATCAGTATAAATTAGAAAAAATGTAGAAAAATTATAATCAAGATAACCTAATGTTCTTTGATTATCAATCAAAATTACATACTATAACAAATTCAGACAAAAATTCAAAACCCCTTAAAGAAGAACATATATGCAAACGACCCATATTCCCAGGAAAGGCACATTTTAAATCTAAACACACAAAAAATTCCCAATTTCATCAAACCTATAAATTCTAAATATTAAATTACAAGTTCCCATCAAAATGTTTAATTAAAAAACAATCAAAACCCCTAAAATCAACCACAATCAAAATAAAGAAACACTGTTTCCTTCAAATAAGAAGGATTAAATCAAAAAATTACAACTTGAAAAAGATTAAGAAGAAATTACCTTTTGATTCAGAACTTTTTTCTGGGAAATGAATTAACAACAAATACAAATACAAACTTTCTAATAAAAGGAGTAACTTTGTGAAAAAGGGTGATGATGATGATGAAATGAGATGGGATTTTTTGTAAGAAATTCTGGAAAATAAAGAAAATGGGTATCCTTTTATATTTAAAAACGGGGTTTGGTTGGTTTGAGTTTATTTGATTGACTGAAACAAAAGGCAAAAGAAGGTGGCTTTCTTGGAATTTAACTCTTGGACTCACTGTTAACGTCTGTTAATTGGAATTGGGTAGCCTAGCCTGGTTTTTGAGACATAACGGACGTTAGAATGTAAAGAGATGATGATGTTAATGGAATCTAATAAGTAGGTACTCACAAATTTGGAATTCTAATTTCTTGGAGATCATGTGTCAGATGGTTACAAAATTATATGGAACCTACATTCACGATAAAGAAAATTGAAGGTTCAATTATTCAAGACCCATTGTATCTAAGAGGCATGTTTAAAAATTGATCCGATTTGAAATAAACTGATCCGATCTGAAAAAAAAAACTTATCCGAATTGAAATAATTTGACTAATTTAAAATGATTCGGTATAAAATTTGATTATAGACTTGATTTGAATTTGATCAATGATCCAAATTGACATATGTATGCATTTTGGTGTTAGTATTTTAAATTGAGTTTGATATGAACAATTTTTAATGTACAATCACTTGTGTTTTTGTAAATTTGTAGTGTTATACAAAACATAACATACAATATGCTAACGACGGTTTGACTCATTTCATTGGGGTGTTTAAATTTTGCCAAGTGATTGTGCTTTAGGGTGGCCCTTACTTTTTCCCCATACACCCACGTGTTTGATCCGCAAATATTTTAAGAGCTCATGGTTACGTAGAGATGTAAATATTGAAACCATAAAGCTTTTTTGGTACTGCTATACGTAGGGATATGAATAAGCATTTAAGATATTTCCTAATATGGTACGGAGTATTAATTTAGGAATGTATGACAAAATCACGCGCAAATCAATGTAATTAATATTATATTCTCACTTGTCCTTTCCATTTTAGCTCTTTATATGTAGCCCTAAAGAGTACGGGTAACATTTTATTTAATTTTTATTTTTTTTAACAGAAAACCCATAAAATTTCTAAAGTAATTTAGTAACATGATTTTTGCAAATATTCGAAAACAAATGAAAATACAATACAAGAAAAAACAATTACCCAAAGAAATCACCCAACATTTTCTTATATGGTTTATTTTATGAATTCATCAAATGTTCTACTCCCGTGATTCAACAACAAGAAAATTTTGTAAGCACTTTTATGTACATCAATTTCCCTCGATTCTTTAAAGAGAAAAATGGTGTACCCCTGGCTACTAAAAATGGTTGAAAAGAATCTGGACCTTGGGAAATTTCCATCAAATTGCCGAGGACTAACCAGCATTAACATTTGAACATCTTGTAGTTATATGTAGCTTAATGGCTTAAATGCTACGCTTGAAAACTCATAAAAAGAGCTTAGTAAGGGGACCACGACTTGGACGTCGTCATTCCTTACCGCCTTAAACACGGATTTTTGCTTTGATCTCTTCTTCTTCAAATTTATGTGGTGTGTCTTTGGGTCTTACTTTCAAAGATTCAAGTCTCCAATACATATAAACAATTATTGCCTTCTTGTTATTAATATTATATTGTGGGGTTTTTTTTTTTTTTTTTTTTTTGAAGAAACCCCATTATGGGAATTATATTACTAAATCATAAGAAGCAACATCAACAATACGAGTAGGGAGTACATTATTCCACACTCTTCGACCAATTTCCCATAGTTTTAAATGAGCCAAATCGTGAGCTACTCTATTACCACTACGCTTAACAAAAGACCACTTAACACTAATAAAATCATAACACAAAGCTATAATATCATCCAACACCAAATGAAACGAACTCGAGCCTTTCTGTTGACATCGCAGCGCCTCAATAACCCCCAAACTGTCACTCTCTACTTCAGTTCTTCCATAACCATTCTCCTTAGCTAGCATCATACCCCACCAAATAGCTTTAGCCTCTGCCACTTTTATCTCCCATTTTTCAGACCCTTGAATCACCCCACAACAAACAACATCCCCCTGGCAGCCTCTAATAACCGCACCAAGCCCCATTCCCAATTCTCCTAAAACACCAGCATCTACATTAACTTTCACAAAGCTTGTTGCAGGTGGTGTCCAGGCATTCGGGTGACTGCTACCAAGCCCTACAGATCTCAGACACTTCTTAGCACCCCCCTCCCTCACCTCACCACTACATTTCAATGCATATGCTACTACATTATCTGGATTTTGCCGCTCGTCCTCCATAATCCACCTGTTTCTTGCTCCCCATATAGCCTAGCATAATGTAATCGCATCCTCTTTATCCTCATCATCTAATTCATTCAAACCAATAGTCCACCAATCAACCACATTACAGAAATTTTGGTGCATCAAGTGAGAGAACTTACTTTGACTCCAGATTGCTTTGGCGAGGCTACACTCCTTTAGAGCATGCAGTACATTTTCCTCTTCCCTATGACAGATACTACACAACGGATCATAGTCCCGAATGCGATGATTAATCCCACTGCGAGTCGGAAGAGCATTATGGCAAGCCCTCCAAGCGAAAATTTTAACTCTTGGTAGAACACACAGCTTCCAAATTCCATTGCACATATGTCTATCAGTTGACGATGAAATTTCTTCTCTGCTCCAATCATCATCAAGCAAGGCTTTATAGGGTGACCTCATTGAATACAGTCCATCCTTCTCCAAGTCCCAGCAAAATTGATTCGCAGGCAGCCTACAACTTATGGGGATACTCAGTATTCGATCCCTTTCAAACGAAAAAAATAATTGAGACACCTTGGCTACATCCCAACCTCTAGATAAAGGATCAATGAGCTCACTAACTCGCATATCTTCACTAGCATCGCCGCTAGGAGAAATAATTTTGTGTGTCTAAGTCCTGGGAATCCACGGGTCCGTCCAAACTCTAATGTCATGACCATTACCCACTCTCCATCTCATCCCTCTTCTCAACACCCATCTTGCCTCCCATATACCCCTCCAAGTATAGCTCGGAAGTCGGAAAGGTGCCAAGATTTGCCTCCATAAATGAAGAGTTGGGATAGTATCGAGCTTTTAAAATTCTCTCAAGCAAGCTACCCAGGTTCATCATATGTCTCCAAGCCTGTTTCCCAAGAAGAGCCCAATTGAAGAGTTTGAATTCCCTATAGCCCAAACCACCCTCCTTCTTCGTAGGACACAATTTTTTCCATGCTAACCAATGAATTTTCCGTTCTCCTTGCTTCTGACCCCACCAAAATTGAGCCACTAACGATCTCATATCATCACAAAAAGAGGATGGAAACTTAAAAACACTCATCGCGTAGGTAGAGAGAGATTGGGCCACCACCTTTATCATGACCTCCCTACCCGCCTTAGATAGTACCATCCCCTTCCACCCTTGAAGTTTCTTCCACAATTTCTCCTTAACACCAATCACCTTTTTCAACCTCCCCACCACCGTGGGTAATCCCAAATATCTATCATGAACATCCACCATACGAACACCACTAAACTCCTCAATCTCCGTACGTTTCACATCCGGCACACCCTTGCTAAAAGTAATTGTTGTTTTATCAAAATTTATTTTCTGCCCTGAAGACAACTCATAGGTCTGCAACACTTCTTGAATAACCTCCGCATCCTACAAAGCCACCTTAGAAAAAATAATACAGTCATCAGCAAACAACAAGTGACTAACAGATGGAGCCGACGGAGCAATATGAATCCCATGAAGACTACCTCTTTCTTCTGCACTCCTTAACAAATGAGAGAACACCTTCGCATACAAGATAAACAGATACGGTGAAATCGGATCCCCTTGTCGAATACCTCTACCCAGGCTAAACTCTTTCGTAGGCCTCCCATTCACCAAAGCCGAAAAGGTCACGCTTCGCACACATTCCATAACCTGATTCCTCCAACCATGATCAAACCCGAAGTTCTGAAGCACAGCATCCAAAAAAATTCCATTCGATTCTATCGTATGCTTTTGACATATCCAATTTTAGACCCATACTACCCTCCTTATGGTTTGAATTTTTCACATGATGAAATAATCCGAAAGCCACCAATATATTATCAGTAATAAGTCTTCCGGAGTAAAAGCACTCTGATTTGCAGATACTTCCTAAGTTCTTTTAATATCGCATCACTTGTCTTTTAGTGAAGTTTCACAAAGATTGCATCACTTCCATTTTAGGACAAAAAATATTTATGTTCACACTGCAAATATCCAACATACCCTCACTTTTTATTTTATACATTACATGAACAATTTTGTATTTTTACGTTTCTCTCTCTTACTTTTTTCCACTACCAAATTTTGCCTCCAAAACCCCTATGATGCAATAAAAAAAGAACGGAGGAAGTATAATTTTATCCAGAAACCGTCTCAACCTATTAGTCAACACTTTCGACACCAATTTATATACTAAAGTGCATAGGGAAATAGGCCTAAAATCAGTCATACGATCCACATTGCTCTTTTCGGAATTAGTGCAATAAAAGTACTAATAAGAGAAGCAGGAATCGAAGCACCTCTCAAAATTGAAATCACAGAGCTAGATATTAACAGATCAATAATATGCCAGTAAGACTGGAAAAAAGAGGGCACATACCATCAGGACCTGAGGCTTTGATCGGATGCATTTGACTCAATGCCAACTTCACCTCCTCGACTGAATAATTTGCTCTTAGACTAGCATTCATCTCATCAGTGACTCTTCTTTGAAAGTTTTGCAGGGCTTGTTCAATCAACTAAGGATTAGAAGAACTGAAAAGGTTGCGGAAATAATTAACCACCACTGAACCAATCTGCTCATCTCCAGAGTGGCTGACACCATCATCATCCAGTATTATATTGTGTTTTTAATTATTGACTTCTTGTTATTATACTGTGTTTTTAATTATTGCCTTCTTGTTATTATATTGTATTTTTAATTATTGACTTCTTGTTATTTATATTGCAACATTTCTGAGCAATTTCATGGAATAATGCTAAAATTCAAACTAATTCCTTATATAAGTCAGTTTAAAAACTATTTCTCATACTACTGTCCACGTAGGCTCGACTCTAATGGTATTAGCGATTCTATATTGGCAAATACCAAACTTTTACATCGAGCCTGGGTGGACGACATTGTGAGAAATAATTTTTAAACCAATGTATATAAGGAAATAGTTTATGTTTTTACATTATTTAGGGAAACATTTCTAATTGTTCTTATCAAAAAAAAAAAAAAAAAAAAAAAAAAAAAATTAGGTCACCGGTCATCTGGGCTTATTTAAGAATCGGTGCTTTTTCTGTGTGTTGGGGTTACTTATTCAGGGGTTGCTTGGTCGGTCAAGGGTTACTTATTCAGGGCTTACTCAGTCAGTTAGAGGCTACTCTCACACAAAAAACACGCTACCAATTGAGGAACCCCAGATTAAGTAACCCTTAACCGACTTAGTAACCCCTATAAGTAACCCTGGTCACACGTTGTGGCCTTAGTTGAAGTTATTGAAGTATATTGCTAATACTAGTAGTTGAGATTATTAAAGTGTATTTCTTCTTAAAAAAAAAAACCTAAAATTGAGTTTATTAAAACCAATTTTTCTAAATTAAAACTGTCTTTAACAAACAAGATCTTTTTGAGAAAACCAAACAAGATTTGAGTTGGAACACACAAAGCTCTTCGTACATTTGTTGTCAACTCGTGTCCTATACTTGGGCTTACCGCTTACACTTCTTCAGCTTTGTTCTAGACTTTCTAATAAGCCATCTAGGATTCTAGGTTACGGAGTATACTCCATTATTTTTCTATCCTCCAATATTAAAAATAATTAAACGAATTATTCAAAAAAAAGAAAAACAACATTAAAATTCCAGAATCCCTGTTAAACCCTCTTTCACTCCTCTCCTCCATACTACCAGCCACCATCTGCAAAACCCTAGGAGAGAGAAAATCTCCACCTTTTCTCTCATCAATGGCGTCCGAGGCAATCACTGAACCAGAAACCGCCACTGCAACAACCGAGGACATGGAACTCGAGAACCCGCAGCCCGGCCCGAAGGATGATGCGAAGAGAGCGAGAGAAGAGGCGGATGATGCCGAGGTGAATGCGAAGAAGCAGAAGGTTGAGGAGGAGAAGTCTGTAGAAGAAGAGAGGATGGAGAAGTTGGAAGAAGATGGAGAGGGGAAACCCGAACCCGAAGGCCCGGTTGTTCTCGGGCCCAAAACATTCGGGTCGTCTGTTGAGATGTTTGATTACTTTTATAAGTTGCTGCATCATTGGCCTACGAATATCAATTTTAACAAGGTATTGTCAATTGTGTTTCTTTTGGCTTTGATTGGTTTCTATTATTTTTGATTAATTGTTAATTTCTGTTTGGTTTTAGTATGAGTTAATTTGTTAGTTTTCAATGATTAATGGCGTTTATATATGGATTAGACTTCGATTTTTGGGAAATTTGATTTGTGTTTAATGTAGAACAGGGAGGAAAAAATTTTAATTTGTGTATTTAAAAATGAATAGAATTGTTTGAAAAATTCATTGACTATATACATAAAAACTCTCGCACACTTCATTTTGATCTGGTTTCATTAGACAAAGTTTTGATTTCTCGCATTGTTTCTAAAATTTTGCTACATTAATGAAATATGAATGTTTGCCTCGTGGACATGGTGTAAAAGTGTTTAGTGTATTTTGCCTAGAATTTACGGTGTATATATAGGCTACCTCATGATTGTAGGAGGCTTGAAGAGAAGTGAAATTAGACTAAGATTAGCTCTTGAATAATGGATTTTTGAAAAGGATTCTTCTTTTCTATATAACCATTTTAAACAAAAATTTGAAGTTTTGAGTTTAAAGAGGGTTGTAATTGGTTCTTTTTTAGTTTATTATCAATTTTCTCCAGCTTCAAAACCTTTTCCTAAATATTAACAATTTTGAGCTGTATCACAAGATCTTGGAGTGTAAATGTATATTCTAAGTTGATCAAAAACTCAAAAAAAAAAAAATTCACTTCTCTTTTCGTGGATGCAATTTGATTTCCATTGGTTTTGATCTTCATGAACAAAGTTCAGTACTACTGTTTGAGGGTGGAAAGGAATTGTATGGAAATACCTTTTGTAAGACATCTTTCAATTTTATAGATTAGAATACAGAGATTTCCTTTAAATTGTATCTTGAAAAGCATCAATTTTGAGATAATCGAAAAGACTATAGCTTGCTTGCATACAATTTTCCTGCTTCATATTTACTTATTCAGCAACAATCAGTTTCTAAGGACATAAGGTCACTACAGGAATACTTTCAGTGAGAATTCGGGTAGTTTCTTTCCATCTTTTTCTTTTTTGGAGTTGCCATGAGTGCAACTTCTTTCTTCCTTTATTTTTGGTACAAGTGTATAACAGCATTGCAGTGTAGTGGGAAGGAGGGTGGCTTGATGGTGGTTAGCCTATGAAGGTTGTGGTTGGGGACTTGGGGAGGGGATTCAGGCTTGGGGCGTTCAGATTTATCTAGGTTGTGGTCTAGTGAGGGGGACTGGTCTTGTGTGTGCTGGAGGGTGCTGGTGGTGTTTGTGGTGGAATTGGATTGATTGAGGATGGTGGTCATAGTATAGGGGATTCTGGGGTTTTTTGAAGCCCTTGGGGGTGGTGGAAATCAGAGTAGAGAGATTTTTAGGAGCTGAACATTGAGAAAAGGGGAAGGGAATTCCAAGAAACACCTACCAAACAGCCCCTTAGCTTTATATAAAAAAAAATGGCCCCTCTTTTATTAGGGAATTTTTTAATGTCCCTATACATGCCTTTAGCCCTTGATTATCATTAAAGTGACTCTGGTCATTCCTTTGTTTGTTTCATGCTATGTTCAATGTAATCATCCTGTTCAATGAGGAATGAAAAATGATAGCTTTATATTTGAAATACACCAAATCAATCTAATCTCATCAATAGATTGTGCAGTTATTTTACTGTTTCTTCTTTTTTGCTCATCTGATTGATTTTCAACTGTATTTTATTTTTTTGTCCTGATATTTGATCCTGTTCACATACCTCAGAACTTTGAAGAACATATACTATTTTACTTTCAATAGATTATACTAATGTTGTCAAATTCCTTGTATTCCTCTCTTCCAGTATGAGCATTTGGTGCTGCAGGAGCTGATAAACAAGGGCCATCCAGAGCCAGTGAAGAAGATTGGTTCAGGAATTAATGCTTTTGAAATTCGCCAACATCCAGAGTGGAAAAGTCGCTGTTTCTTTGTCATAAGAGCTGATGAATCTGTAGAAGACTTTAGTTTCAGGAAGTGTGTGGATCACATTCTGCCTTTGCCAGAAAATATGAAGATTAAAACTGATGTGAACAAGGCATTGGGTGGTGGTAAAGGTAGTGGTGGTGGAGGAAGAGGGGGTGGGCGTGGTCGTGGTAGGGGAAGAGGTGGGGGAAGAGGGGGTGGCAAGTTTAGAAGGTGAAAGCTGACCTAAGTTAACTTAGAGCTTGTAAGAGTATTAATGCCAGATATGCAGGTGCTACTATGCCTATTTTGTTGCACCAAATCTATGTAATATCAAGTTTTGGCTACAATTTTATGAATAACTCCTTCCTTTTAGGTTATTAACTTGTATGTGTGCTTTTGCTTTTTTGTTTTGTTTTGTTTTTTTCTTTTTTAATTTTTTTTAACTCCGTATATTTCTCCATTGATTTTGGGAAGGATTGCAGTTGGTGTCAACAGGTATAAAAGGGCGATGGCCATTGGCCAACTATTGTTTAGGCATGGCCAAATTACTTTAATGGTCTAGGCGTAAACGATCAACCAAGTACTTCCTATATTCCTATATGTGGGTAGATTGTCCGTTGCACCATTAAACATATGTAGGCAATGCAGCATTCTATGTCGATAAATGGTTTCAATTATTGCAATTGTTCTCTCAAGAAGTATTCTGCAGACTGCAGTGTTGAGTAGGTTTTCAAACAATCCAAAGTTCGGGCATGTAGAGAAAGAATTAAGATGAAATAGAGAAGAAGGGGAGAGAGTAGGGGTGTAGATGAGCTGATACGTTCGTGAACTACTCGCGAACAACCTCAGTCAAAGTTTGATCAAAACTCGTTTGTTAAGGGTTTGTTTGGCATTGTTGTGGTTCTTTGTTTTTTGGTTTTTTGATTTTCAAATTCATATGATATATGTCATATAATGAATAAAAAATTAGTCAAACTTATTAAAATCCTGATAATTTAGAAAACTGACAACAAAAAAGTGGAAATACCTTTTTCTTGTTTCCTGTTTTTGGTTTTCTAAAAAACTAGAAAACTAAAAACAAAAAACAATGTCAAACAAGCTCTAAGCTAACAAACAAGTTTGAACAAAAATCTTAAGCTCGTCAGATAAATGAACAAAGCTCGAACAACATCATGTTCGACTCGGTAATGTTTATGAACAACTCGTTTAAGTCCATTTATAAGTTTTTTTCAATGTCCGATTAAAACTCGGACAATTTATATATCTTTTATTCATACATATATTTATAAAAAGTACTAATTATTTCATCATGTAAAGGCATGAAAACTCCGTTGTGTAAAAATTTAAAAGAAAACATTTTTTTAATAACAAATTAGGGCTCGTGTATTTAGTCAAGCCCGATTTAATCCCATTCAAGCTCGAACTTAAACTCGAAATGCAAACGAGTATGTTCGTGAATAAAGCTCGAACAAGCCAAATTCTTAACGAGCCTAGCTCAAACAAGATTTTAAAAGCTCGTTTAAGCTCGAGATAGTTCGAACACGAATAATTCTTATCAAACTTAGTTCGAACAGATTGAAACTCGGCTTGGCTCGGATCATTTGCAGCCCTAGGAGAGAGGTACTCTCGAGTAGGCTAGAGTGCAAATTGGACGTCACCAAATTTTAGCCGTCACTAATATTGCTATATTTTTTATTTTTTTTTGAACAATCACTAATATTGCTATATTCGTTACTCCATAGTTGTTACTCGTAATCAAGCCCGTATGATGTACGAATTGTGAAGTTTCAAATTGCGTTACTACTTTTACTATATATCGTTTGGCTACAAAAACCAGCCATTTATAAGTGTTATGACCACAACCACAAGATCATTGCTCAACGTATCATGTATGAGTATATGACCATAGTCATCCACCATCTTTCTTGGGATTTACAGTACTTTTGCGCCTCCAGTAAATGTAAATGAATGCAGAATTAATCTTTTCCACAAATACAATCATCTTCATTATTCCGTTAAGATAATGATGGAACAGTGAATGAACATAAATGATCAATCAAAATAAATTGTACATAAAATCCATAATTTGCATGAGTGTGACATTGATTATTGTTATTAATAACACATTTTACAAGCCAAAACTGTTAAATTATTTATTTCACTACTTAGCCAAAAAAATTAAGTAATCTTTTCCGAATTGGAGTGCACTTAGTACAATTAACGGAGTATCTGTTTAGCCTTTCATAATTGTTTCGGGTGAAAACAATGGGACCTTGCCGAAGGTCCGCTGAAACGGAGAAGACTGGATTCGGTCCAAGTTATGCTGGGCCGAAGGTTTCCTGCACAGTAAACACACGTAAACTAGCCTCGGGGGTGTTGCCGAGGAAGGCCCCTCCGATGCTAAAGTCAGTACAATGTGTAGAAAGAGAACACTATGCAAGAGAATTAGTTGCTTGAGGCTTTGCTTGAATATATGAGAATATATGAGAATGTATGAGAATGTATAAATTTGTGAATCTATGAATATGAGAATATATGAATCTGTGAATCTATGAATCAATGAATGTATGAATATTGATGGCTTTTATACCTCTTCATACATGGAGAGGTTGGGCCTTAGCCCAATTGGCTTGCTTTGAGGGCTGACCTTTGACTTTAGCACAATTGGAGAGTTGAACCTTGACCTTGGGCTTTTAATTGGATCATTTAATGCCTAGGCCCAATTGGACTAAATTGGACCCAAACAACTTGCCCCCCAGACCCGATTTGGAAGGATGACGGGTCGGGTTTGATTTGATTCAGAAAAGGAGGGAAGTAAATGATTTAATTAATCCAAAAATTTGAATTTAAACCGTAATTAATGAGATAACAACGGTTTAGGCGGATGATTGTGGAAGTTGGACGGATAATGGGCAGTTTAATCACAAGATCATGTGTTTAACGGTTACTTAGTGGGGTATTTAAGAGAAATTGAAACGCGGACTCCTCGTATCCCATTCCTGGAGATATAAACAGAGGCGCGTCATCTCTCCTCACTTATTCACCAACACAAACCCAGAATTCTCGAGAGAAACCAAGAACCCGCATCAAAACTTCGCAAATTCCCCGAGCATTAAGCTTAGAAACTGAGACTTGCCACTACGAACTCGTAAATCGGCAACTTTCGCTTCAGATTAAGGTAAATTCCTTTGATTTCAGTTTATTTTTCTTCGAATTCAAACTCCTTCCCTTTTTTTCGACTTTTTTCTTCGAAATAATCAATGGCAAGAGGAGTTAGAGGTAGAGCCCGTGCTCCAAGAAGAGCAAGGCCGATTCCCGATCCTAGGAACAGGATTGGGACCTGGAATGGACAAAGGCCAGAGTCTGACCCTGCTGAAGGGATTAGGGCGACTCCAATTTCCTCGGCTCCTCCTCAGAGAACGGAGGGACCGAGCGCTTCTGGACGGGACGATGAAGTTCCCGCTGTCCTTTGGGATATCCTCCCCGGGTTTTCAGAGTGGGAGAATGCCGAAGTAGCTTCGGCCATGATAAAGAACCGCCCCTACTCATGGTGGGTGGAGAATGCCGAACAATATCGGTTTGCCGAGCAAATTGAGTTGCATTACGGCATTTTTAAAGCTGATGGGTATTGGTGCCGAATGCTCGCGGCATCCGATAGAATCCATCGTACACCCCCAGGGTATGTGGGGGTGTACACAAGACAACTTCAGTACGGGCTGAGGTTCCCTTTGGACGTATTCGTCCGAGACTTGCTGATCCATTACAATATCTCCCTATGTCAATTAACTCCCACCAGCATCCGAAGGGTGATGACATACTTATGGGTCTGCAAGTTCTTCAAGTATGTGCCGAACCTGCACTGCTTCAAAAAGCTTCATCGGCTAGTGCCAAATATTCAAAGTGGGCACGGAAGCCATGGTTCTGGGTGGTACCGGATTGAGTCCCGGCCCCAGTACTTAACCATGTGGCCGAACGACTCTTCAGACAAGGATTGGAGAGGTCAATGGATTTGGGTTAGGGCACCCACAGATCCGGGCCACCCTTGCGTCTTCAGCGCTCCCCGGTACCTTGCTGAGCCTGATCCCGACATGGGAAGTCTAGGTCCCCCCGCAGATAACGGGGCGGATCCGAACCTTGATCAACAACATATCTTCGGCAAGCTGCCAAACCGGGGGGGCAGCGGCCGAATGCAGCATATCCCGGAGACTTGGCTCCCCGATACGCATTATGTTTTCCAAGAGAACATGCTAGAAGCTGTTGGCCTCAGCCGAAAGTTTAAGGATGGTAAGCTTCTTCGGCTGGGGCCGAGGCTTTTTAATTATCTCTTTTTCTTCTCTCACTTCGCTTTTTTATGCTGTGCCAACCTATCTGAACTGACCTTTCCCCTTTTCTTTTTCAGAGCGGGACGAGACCAACGTTGGCATTAACTACGCTCGTCTTGGTGTCAACCGAGAACGAGTTGTAACTGAACGGGCCCCGTCTATCACTGAACCGAGGCATAGGGAAGTTCATCTAGACTCTTCCCACTTCCAAATTGAGGTTGTTGCTCTGTATCAGAGGCAGAAGCCTTGGTGGAAGAAGAGAGACCCCTGGTTTAAGCTGCTGGACGAAGAAGCTGAAGCTGCCCGTACAGCCGAAGAGGTTGCACGGGTTCTCGAAGCTTGCGAAGGAGGAGAAGGGTCCTCCAGAGCTGCTGAAGAAGAAGCTGCAGCTAGGGCAGCTGAAGAAGACGAGGCTTTGCTGAAGACCTCGATGAGCTTTCAGACTTAACTTTGTCTTTTTTTTTTTTTTTTTTTTTTACTCACATTCTTCCTCCCCCCTGTCTGTTACAGTCTGAAGAGAGTAACAGACACAGAGAAGGGAAAGCCCCTGTTCGTCCCGAAGACCAAATACAAGAAGAGTCTTCAGACTCAGACATGGACGAGCAGCCTCTTCAGAAAAGGCGCCGAAGAATGGCCATCATCGGCCCTCACGACTTTCAGCGGAGGCCGATGACCATCGGCGTTGCAATAAGGAAACCCGAGGAAGGCAATGGATCGCCGAGGGTTCCCCGGCCACCACCCCAATCACCTCCAAAGACCCCTCCGCCACCTCCTGAGATGGAGGTGGATCAGAGAACTCCCGAATCTAAGGGAGGGGTCCAAGAAGCAATTAAGGAGAGTGTTGCTGAGCACAAAAATAAGGATGTCGTGATGCCCAGTGCTGAGGGTTCCACGACAGACATTGCAAGAGAGGTTGAGGCTTTCGCCCTCACCCCTGAAGAAGAAGAGGTCATAGTAATTGACTCTTCTGAGAAGGATGATGCTGAGCCATCCAAAGCTAAAGAAGCTCCATCGTCATCCTTCCCTTCTTTCCAGACTCTGCAATCTGGAGAAATGGGT